ATAACGTCACTGCCAAGGGCAGGAGCACCCTCGACAGACGGAGGACAGGCAGGGTCAGAGACCAGAGCGGTGGCGTAGTCAAGGCGGCGGGTAGAGGCGAAGTCAGCGACCGCAGCGACAAGAGCGTCAAGGCACGAGACCGGAACAGACGGGTCGGTAACGAGAGAGGCAAGGACCCGGGGAACAAGAGGACGAGCGGCACGAAGGTAGTCAGACAGCGGGGGGGGTGCAACAAGGGAGGACGTGGGAGGCGACGGCAGAAGGGGAGGACGAGACGCGTGGGAACGAAGCAACATAGGGTGGGAGCGCAAGACAGGCGAGGCAGGACGAGCACGGGAGGGACGGTGAGACCAGACGTGCGACGGAGGAGTCGGGTCAGGAGACAGAGGAGGGGACACAGGAGGGGAACGAGGGGGGAGACGGGCCGGGGACGAGTCCGGCGGAGGGAAGACAGGGCCGGAGACAGGAAGAGGAGGAGACGGCCGGGGAGGAACCGACGTAGGGTCGGGGGACGGAAGGCCGAGGAGGCGAAGGGCTGACACCGGCGGGGACTGCTGCTGCGGCGGCACAACAGCGTCACCGGGACCGCAAGCTGCTCCTCGGCTACCACCGGCACTCTCCACACCAGCACCCCCAGAGGGACCACCCCCAGGGCTACCGGGACGAGCACCCCCAGAGTCAGCGAAAGGGTGCTGCGACGGCAGCGGCGGCGGTGGCGGCGGCGACGGCGGCGGCGGCAGGGACAACGACGGCTGCAGCGGCGGCAGAGGCGGTGGAGGGGGGGACTGGGAAGGGGACGCCAGGGGAGGGGCGGCCGGCGAGGACTGAACAGGAGGGCCGCCAGAGTCAGAAGACTCCTCAAACGGGTCCACCGACGGAAGGGGGGAGACGTGGGACACACCAGAGGGGGCGGGACGGGGAGGAGGAGGAGGGGCAGGTACTACCGGGGAAGGAGTGACCAGGAACAAGGGGGGGGTAACCGGGGGACCACGGTGGGGGAAGCGACGGTAGTAGGAGACGGACTCGTCAAAGGTGACGTCACGAGAGTGAAAGAAGCGGTGAGACGGCGGGTGGTAAAAGTGCCAGTCGGACGCGTCAAGGGGAAAACCGAGGAAGACACAGGGAAGGGTGTGGGCAGTGAGCTTGTCCGTGCCGGAGGCACGGACGTGAGCAAGGCAGCCCCAGACGTGGAACGCAGACGCGTCACCAGGAGACCCAGTCCTAAGACGAGTCGGCGAAACCTGCGGCTGCTGAGGGTGCGGCCACAAGTTAAGCTGGTGAGAAGCGTAGCGCACAGCGAACGGCTACAGAAAATGGGGTGCACCGGCATGGATCATGGAGGTGCGAGCCACCTCCATGACCAAACCGATGCGTCGCTCAGCGACCCCATTCTGCTGTAGGGAGTCCGGTAGGGTGAACGTCTGGGTGATGCCCTCCGCAGGACAAAAGCGACCAAGGACACCTGAGGCAAACTCGCCACCACGGTCGGAGTGAAGACGCAAGACAGGGAGACCGCGGTGGACACGCGCAGAGACAAGCCAGGGGATGAGAGCGCCAGGCACGTCGGCCTTGCGCTCCAGGGGAAAGACTGTGGTGTAACGAGTGAAGTCGTCGACAAGCACAAGGAAGTAGCGCTCTCGACGCGGCCCAGGGACGGGGGCGGGGCCCCAGACGTCCAGGTGCAGGGTCTGCAGCGGCGCGGCGGTAGGGGGAAACGAGGAGGAGTGCGGGGCACGGCGAAGCCGACCCTCAACACAAGGCGTGCAAGGTGGGGCTAGGGAGGAGGGAAACGCGGGGAGGGAACCTGGGAGACCAAGGACAAGACCGTGCTGGGACATGTGACGCAAACGCGGGAGCGCAGGGTGACCTAGGCGGTGGTGCCAAAGGAGAGTCGGGTGAGTGAGGGACCGACAGGAGCAGGCAGCAGCAACCTGGGTAGACGCAGCCACCTGAGGAGGCGCCCCAGCCGGGGGGGTCACGGTGTCCAGAGTGAACAGGCCGGACACTGGGTCCCGGGGGAACGTGGACAGGGGGGCACCAGTGGCGGCCTCGGTACAGACAGCATACCGCTCGTGACCAGGGAACGTAGTGGTGACGCCAAGGTCCTGGAGGCAGCCGACACCAACTAGGTTCCTGGAGAATGAGGGGATATGCAGACCTGTGAGAGAGCCCGAAGGAACCGCCGGACAGGGAAGGGTGGTGGAACTGCGGGCGACGACCGGACCGCCGGAGGGGTCAGCAAGAGAGACAGCAGCTGGGACAGGAAGCGGCGTCAGGGTGGTGGAGTCGCGGAAGAAACACCGAGAAGCGCCAGAGTCCAAGGTGAAGGAAAGCGAAGCAGAGGCGTCTGGCAACGGAACGACGGCGGAAGCACCAAGACTACACAAAGCAGGGGATCCTACGCCTGACGCAGCAGGGGAGGCTAAGCTAGGCACACCTACACTAGGCAACAGTGAGTAATAAGCGGGAAGCACACTAGAGTCATCAGCATACATCACATGCAGAGCAGAAACAATGGCATCCATGTCCAAGTCAAAAATCGGAATACTACGTCGAAGCAAACTGTGCCAGTCCGGGAGGTCTGGCGACGGGCCGAAGCGCTGACGAAAGAGGTCGTCCAGGCGGCGAAAACAGCGGGGAGTGGAGTGACCTATCTTACCGCAAACGAAGCCGCAGCGATGGAGCGGTGACGGGTCTCTATCACAGTCAGGGTGTCTACAAAGTCGGTGAGGGTGAGGTCTGCGGGGTGAATGCTAAGGAAGCGGTCGCGGGCGACAGCAAGGCGGTCAGGGAGGCGGGTGGCAAGCAGGTAAAGGGTAGAGGTAATGGGCGGCTGGTGGGCTCTAAGCTGTGCGTCAGTGCAGGCAGCGCGCCAGGTCTCATCTATCGAGCGCAGGTGGGCAGCGAGGTCAGAGACAGTGGGGAAAGATGCAAGGTCAGGAAAGAGCATCGGGAGGATCAGGCGACCCACCGAGGCAGCCGGAGGGGTGGAATAGCGCTGGATGACAGCATCTAAGTATGCCTGAGCAGTGGTGAGAGACCTAAAGCGAGGGCGCTCGGACGGGGGAAGGGCGTTGCTGATGGCAAGCTGAGCGACAGCATCGCGAGAAAGCCAGACAGAGCGCGCACGGGCAGTGGCAGCAGTGGACTCACGCTCAGTGGGTGTGGAGTCAGCGGGCAGAATAGCAGGGGGGTCTGGGCAGGGGAGCGTACCGTCAAGGTGTGCGGAGAGCGGTTCACCATCCTGCCGCTGGCCAGTGAGTTGGCGACGGAGGTCGGCAAGCCACGCCTCGAACTCCAGAGGCTGGCCTTCAGCGTCGAAGCGAAGCTCCGTCGCCATCAGGAACAGTGCAGTGCGGTGCAGGGCAGTGCAGCAAGGTGGAGTGCGGTGCCGTGCAGAATAGTGCGATGCAGTGCGGTGTAGGGAGGCGCTGTGCGGTGCCAGGCAGGACAGGGTGGTGCGGGGCGGTGCAGTGCGGGGCAGTACGGTGCAGGGTAGTGCAGGGCGGGGGGGGGGGGGGGGAACCGCACCAGTGAGGAGGACCGGGGCCGGGGCAGGGACGAGCGCAGGGGGCCGGGCCGGTGCAACTGGGGCCGGGCGGGCGCGACGGGGCCGGGCGGGTGCGACGGGGCCGGGCTGGTGCGACGGGGCCAGGCTGGTGCGACGGGGCCGGGCCGGTGCGACGGGGCCGGGCGAGCAGGAAGGTGGCCTTGGAGGGGCGCACCGGGGCTGGGCAGGCGCGACGGGGCCGGACGGGTGCGACGGGGCCGGGCGGCTGCGACGGGGCCGGGCAGGGGGCGACAGGGGCCGGGCGGGTGCAACGGGGCCGGGCAGGCGGGACGGGGTCGGGCTGGTGCAACGGGGCCGGGCTGGTGCGACGGGGCCGGTCTGGGGTGACGGGGCCGGGCGAGCGCGACAGGGCCTGAAGATGTGACGGGGCCCAGAAGGGGCGCTACGAAGCCCAGGAGGGGCGCGGCGAGGCCCAGGAGGGGCGCTACGGGGCCCAGGAGGGGCACGACGGGGGGGGGGGGGGCCAGGAGGGGCGCTACAGGGGCCCAGGAGGAGCGCGACGGGGCCCAGGAGGGGCGCTACGAAGCCCAGGAGGGGCGCGGCGAGGCCCAGGAGGGGCGCTACGGGGCCTAGGAGGGGCGCGACGGGGCCCGGGAGGGGCGCGACGGGGCCCAGGAGGGGTGCGACGGGGCCCAGGAGGGGCGGAACGGGGCCCAGGAGAGGCGCTACGGAGCCCAGGAGGGGCGCGACGGGGCCTGGGAGGGGCGCGACGGGGCCCAGGAGGGGCGTTACAGGGCCCAGGAAGGGCGCGACGGGGCCCAGGAGGGGCGCTACGGAGCCCTGGAGGGGCGCGACGAGGCCCAGGAGGGGCGCTACAGGGCCTAGGAGGGGCGCGACGGGGCCTGGGAGGGGCGCGACGGGGCCCAGTGAGGGGTGCGACGGGGCCCAGGAAGGGGCGCGACGGGGCTAGGGGGGGTCGCGACGGGGCTAGGGGCTAGAGCGGTGAGCGGAAGCGGGAGGTGGGGGGGGGGGGATCCTACCTACGCGTGATACCATATCAAAATGGAGAAGTGAATGATGACTAGTGAGAGAGTACAGAAAGATATACCTAAGAATTGTACCCTCTAAGAGGTGACCCTATACAGTCTATACAAACATACCGACTACACATGTTTGACATCCACGTCGTCCATTGCTCCTTAGATTCATTCTTGAAACAGGAGGACGACCAGTTGCAGCAGAAACAATTCCTCCAGTCATGGTAGAAAAACGTGCGGCAATCACGTCCGCAAGTAGCGTGCTCCTATGCCCAGGTCTGGGCATGGTAGGAGGGGTTTAGAGTGTGCTGATGGTAGTAAGCAATCAGAGAAGAGAAATGAGAATGAGACTAGGTGGCAGGTCCATCGGACCTGCGAGAATGTGAAGGAGCTTTTCTCCTTTACAGCAAAATTCCTCTTCAAATCGAATCACAATCTGTTAATTTTTATTCCTAAAAAATTATTCATATCTTCCCACACCAAGGCTGATTCAATGTCCTCCTGCAGAACCCAGCGCTCAAACTTATCAATGTCTTCCTTATCACAATGCTCATACTACCCCTCGTTTCCGAGTTCAGAATATAGAGATCCAATGACCACATATATGAGCCGTGGCAGGTGTACCCGGGAAAAGGCATGCTCTCCCAAGAGTCTGGAGTATACTATGTAGCAACGAAAACGATGATGTTTCGGTTGCAACGGCCGACCCGTGCAACTCTCGACAATGTTTCCACCACAGCACACCTGTATCACGTTCTCCACCATGTGTTTCGCACTTGTCACCTCTTTCTCCCTCCTGAAACCAACCCACTCTGCCCCCCACCTATCTAGCATGGTGAACTGTTTAGGATCTTGCCGGTCGAATTCGTCCAATGTCCACGTTCACAGTGGATAGTGCACAACAGGTGGCTGGCCGGTGCGCCTTCGCACCTGCCTGCGCTCGGTGAGGTACGCGCTGTCATGTAGGAGTGCGCAGGCCGCCGCATTGCGGTGAGACCCTCTGTCTGCCCCCCTGCAGTGCCGGCGTCCTCGGTGGAGGGTGGTGTCGCCAGTGCCCTCCATGACACTCCTGCGGATTTCACTGTCAGGATAGGTGCCGACCTTACAGGTAGGTGGGACAGGGAGAAGAGGCAAGGGGGAGGGGGGCAGAGGCAAACAGGAGGGCGTGCAGAGGCAGGTGAGAGGGGGCCATAGGCCAGTGAGAAGGGGATCAGTGGCTAGTGGGAGGGGGGAAACGCACGTAAAGAGCAGGGGAGCATAGGCATGTAAAGAGGGGAGGGCAGGTGGAGCAGGCGGGGATGGAGAGGCGAGTAAGAGGGCGAGACGGGGCAAGTAAGAGGGGGAGGCGCGGCATATAAGAGGGGGAGGTGAGGCATATAAGAGGGGGAGGTGCGGCATATACGAGGGGGAGGTGCGGCACATAAGAGGGGGAGGTGCGGCACATAAGAGGGGGAGGTGCGGCACATAAGGGGGGGAGGTGCGGCATATAAGGGGGGGAGGTGCGGCATATAAGGGGGGGAGGTGCGGCATATAAGGGGGGGAGACGGGGCAAGTAAGAGGGGGAGACGGGGCAAGTAAGAGGGGGAGACGGGGCATATAAGAGGGGGAGGTGTGGCATATATGGGGGGGAGGTGCGGCATATCAGGGGGGGAGGTGCGGGATATAAGGGGGGAAGGTGCGGCATATAAGCGGGGGAGGTGCGGCATATAAGGGGGGGAGGTGCGGCATATAAAGGGGGAGGTGCGGCATATAAGGGGGGGAGGTGCGGCATATAAGGGGGGGAGGTGCGGCATATAAGGGGGGGAGGTGCGGCATACAAAGGGGGGAGGTGCGGCATAGAAGAGGGGGAGGTGCGGCATGCAAGGGGGGGAGGTGCTGCATGAAAGGGGGGGAGGTGCGGCATGCAAGGGGGAGGGTGCGGCATGCAAGGGGGGAGGTGAGGCATGCAAGAGGGGGAGGTGAGGCATGCAAGAGGGGGAGGTGAGGCATGCAAGAGGGGGAGGTGCGGCATGCAAGAGGGGGAGGTGCGGCATGTAAGTGGGGGGGCACATGGGAGCATGAGGGGGAGTTTCAGCGAGTAGAAGGGGGAGGTGAGTCAGGTAAGAGGGGAAGCTTGGGCACGTGTGAGGGGGAGCCGCGGCGAGGAAGAGGGGAGGGTAGGGAATGTAAGAGGTGGAGCTGAGTCAAGCAAGAGGGGGAACCGACAACCTCTCCCTCGCATCGTCCCTCTCTCGTTCGCACCCCTCTCACACCTGCGTCCTCCCTGCATCAATCGCGTCCTTCACCTACCCGCGCCACTTATATCGCCCTATGTTGCTCGCGTAATCCCCCTTGTCCGCACTTTTCCTGTCTCTACGCCTTCGTTTCTTTTCTCTCGTTCGCGCCCCTAAATCCTACACCAGCGGTCCCTCTTGTTCTTGCCTCGTCCTTCCTTACCCGCATTGCCCTTCGTCCCTCTCTCCGTCAACACGACACCCTTTCTTTTATTGGCGTCCCTCCCTGCACCGAGACGTCGCTCCCTCACTGGCGCTTTCCGTTTTGCCGCGCACCTGCGCCGTCCCTCTCTAACTCGCCTGGTCCTCTCCTCTGCCCGCGTCGCCCCTCTCTCATCAGTTTAGTCACTCACTCCCTTGCGCCGCCACCCTACCCTGTCATACAATGTGGACCGCAAACGCTTATTTGTTTAAGGAACAGCGTATGTCTGTGTCAACCATGCATCGCCGGGTGGTCGTGGATGTCTCTGGCGCCTCGCATCGCCGTGCAGGGTTCTGTAACGGTGGTGGATCAGGCCAAGACACGATGGCGCGTCGACGACTCCCACTTCACCAAGTGGTAACAAGCTGGGGTCATAGTGTTGCGCGTGTTGTACTCTGATTGTTTCGTACTGTGCTATGCGCCCGATGGTTGTAACCAATCAGCCTGTGGACTCTAGGTCGGCGATCCACTGGTGTGCTCGGACGATAGGACGTGACCGCGGTTTTAGGTTGGATCTACGCCACCAGTTCGTCGGGTCTCTGCCTGCAGTGCCAGAGTCTGCTTCTCTGGCTCTGGCATCTCGCGAACGTTTTGGTAGGCATATTCCTCCCTCTCTTCTGTTTCCAGCTTCCGTCGCAGCCTGTGTTGTCGTTCACATCCGTGCGACCCCTCTTCCTTCGCGCAGCATTTTTCCCGCGTCCTTTTGGGAGGGTGTGCATTCCGGGCAGCTGCCCGTGTCGAAACGGATTGTGCGGGGGGGCGTTCGCTGGCAATTTGCCGAAGGGAACGGGAAAGGGAACGGGCGACCAAATCCCGCGCACATGGAATTTGCGCGGCCAAACCTACGTAATTTTTTTTTTTGTGCCCCAGTACTTTGGTTATCATAACGTCGCCAGCTTATGATTACGTCGGTCATGAGTGCAGGCCTGGATACGACAAACTCGCAGGCAGTGAAGAGTGGGGCCCATCAAAAGCCCTGTTAGCCCATCGCACTTTCGTAAAAAATCGAGCGGAGAAAATGTGTTTCACACAATTTTGTCAAAACTGTCCACTTTCTTTACATTTCAAAGTGGCTGTGTTGTTTGCTGGTTGTGAGAGAGGTGCCTGTGAGGGACAAGCGTGAGCTGCGGTTTTTTTTTTGGTTTCGTAAACCAGCCCAGCTAAGAGGTGTTGGAAATACCTCAAAGACTTAAGCGTTTCTGAAGTGTAACACCACACTCAAGGAAGATCGTAACGGGTACGCGAGTCAACGGAGGTTACACGAAGGGATGGACAAACAACACGAAAGGACTCGAAGGGTCGCAACTGGAGGTTGCAACTGACAGTTACAACTGCAAAGATGGTAACCGAAGCGACAATTGAGTCGCTGTGCGACTCGATAACCGCCCTTTTTCAACTGTATTCTACAACTGCTTTACTTTCCTACTTTCTATATATTGATGTATGCTTGTTCTTTCAATCAATCACTTGTTCTCATATACTAGTACAAGGGTTCAACTACCTCAACTTCCGCTGCACTACTCAAGTCTTTTACAACTGGGACTTGTCTCTGGAAAGATCCTAAGGGCATTTCTCAGCCCAACATGGTATGAGAGCTGGTCAGAGACCAAACTCCCAACAACTACGCTCTATCTACAATCAGCACACCAACGACTTCATTGATTACAAGTCATGGACAGCAAGGGAAAGAAAGCCTCTACGGGCTCACCCAGTGCCCAAGATACTCAACCCGGCAACTCTGGACTGCACACTTCAGGACTGCAAACCGAGACCGGCGCTGCTCAAGAAACAACAGGAAGAGCACCAGAAATGGTGACCCCATCACCCTCTTCAAGCGTGGACCCGAACCTTATGGAAAGGTTCTTCAGCTTCATGTCACACTTCGACCAACAGCAGCAGACAAGGACACCTGCGCATTCAACACAAAGCAACGGAGGAAACATGGGATTAGCGCCAATGAGTCTCGACAACTCATCGTTCGGGCGACACAATCAAGCGCCTACCTTTGCGCCTTATCACTCTTCACCGGGGACGTTCGAGTTCATGCCGCCCCGTGCCCAACCAACAGCAGCTGCATCACAACAGACACCAAACGAGATTTTAAGTCTCCAGGCGCAGTTTTCACACGTGATTAAACTGCAGACATCCTCACCGTTCAACGGACACAATTTCTTTACCTGGAGTTTTGAGTTCGAGCTGCTGATGGAGGCTGCGCATCTCTTGGGATACTTCAACGGGTCCCTACCATTCCCAAGCAACGGCACTGCAAAAGAACAAGAAATCTTCACGTATCAGTCGCTGCTGGCGTACACAGTTCTCCTACGGAACCTGTCACCACAAGAACAGCAAAGCATCAGAACGTATAGGAGCTACGGAAACTCCGCGGAACTCGCATGGCATCACCTCAAGTGCCTCTATCAAGCAAATGACAGCGTGACACAAAGCAGCTCATGCAGGAGCTGACAACAATACAGATGAAGACCGGGGAAAAAGCGATGCAGTATATGAGTCGATGCCAGACACTCCACGACCGCCTGCTTCGGTACGGAGGAACAATCACTGAAGAAAGCTTCATGACGCTTGTCCTCGCTGGGCTCGGGCCAGAATGGCGAACCACCCGCTCGCTCCTTCGCGCCCACGGCCGAATCTCGGAGATGCACCTCTGCGCCGAGCTCCATGCTGAACAACAGGAGATGGACCTGTTTGAAGAAAGACAACCAAGGAAACAACAACCATTAGTCTTCTACACTCAACGAAGACACGACAACAACTACAACCGACGCGGCAAGCAAGATCAACGCGACAACAGAGGACTCACCATTGTACCGCCGTTCTGCCACAACTGCCAAACATCCGGACACTCCAAAGTCAACTGCACACGTCCCCGAGCTTATCGTCCAGTAGACCCACAAGTCGCTTCCACTCAAGTAAGTCCGCCGAGGCACTCTTCCACATCTGCACAAAATACACCGAATATCATCAACTGCATGGTACACATCGACAACTGCGCACCCGGATCACCGCCAACTTACGCTCCCGATGAAGAAGAACTATCGCTGCCGCGCTCACAGGGATTTCAGGTCAACCCAACGTACGCTGCAGTCGCGAACTCCGAACCCACCGGACGCAACACTTGGTTCTTGGACAGCTGTTGCGGCCAACACATGTGTTCTTCCGGGCGGTTCGTGCAACGAGAACGACGTCTCAACCGAGACGTCATCATCACCGTCGCCAACAACGAGAACCTGAAGACAAACAGACAAGGAGTGGTTCAGTTACAATCCATGGAGACAAACGTTATACTGCAACTCAACAAGGTCCTCATCGTCAACAACTTGGGATACAACTTACTAAGCATCAGCCAGTTAATGGCAAAAGGAATTCACCTGGAGTGCGACTCGGACTCCAACGAATTTCGCCTATACCACGGGAAGGGCGGTCTCTTCATCGGTCGCGCTCTACTAAAGTCCGGCGTCTTCGTGTTGGACTTCGTCCCCGACCGCGGTACCGCCGATAGCGATGGCATCGTATCATTCGCCGCATGGACGCACCCACCGGACCTTGACCCCGACTTCAACCAAGATGGATACTGGTACTCCAACACCATACCTGCAGCAGAGAGAACACGTGAGTTTGCAGTCATTCGACAAGAAAGACAAGTACCGGCAAGCGTCTCTTCATCGACATCACCTGAATTCACAGCAGCAGGACCCAGCAGAGTATCACCACCAGCAATCCGAGGACCGCCAACCGAAGCAGATCAACTCATGCCCACCACACGCGAAGTCTGCCGAAGTCCCGCCACCGTCGTCGCGTTCTTCTCCAACACCGACATGTATCACCGATCGCCCGGCCATCGAGCTCCCGACGACATCTGGCATCAACGCCTTGGGCATCATGCAAATAGCACGGTACTACAAACCATCCAAGCCGAAGTGTTAGAACGAAACGCTCTCCTTACAACAAGCGGACAGGAACTTCGACGACCTCGCGCATGGTGCTTCACATGCCCCGAAGCAGATCTTCAACACCAACCTTTTCCGTCACATCACAATCCAAGTGCACGTGCATACGCACCGATGGAAAAGGTTTACAGCGACATCTTAAACATGCCTCGAGACGACAATGAATCCGACTTCAACTATGTCATAACGTTCATCGATGCAGCAACAAGATATGTTTGGCACTACAACCTCAAGACGAGAGGCCAAGCCTTCGAAACATAAAAAGACGTGGCTTCCCATCGCTGAACGAGAATCAGGAACGAAGCTCAAAAGCTTCCAGTCAGACAGCGCACTGGAATACCAGTCACAACGTTTAGGACCTACTTGGCGGAAAGAGGAATCAGACGCTTGGTGTCCCTGCCCTATGCTCACCAGCAGCAGGGGGTCGCAGAACGAATGAACCGGACCTTGCAGACGACGATGCGAAAGCTGCTCCTGGGGATGAGACTGCCCAACACACTGTGGCCAGACGCGATGACACATGCAGTCCACCTGCACAATCTGTTGTCATCGTCATCGCTTCCCAACAACGCATCACCGCACCTGTTGTGGACACGAAAAAGGGGCAGCACAAAATTACTTCGAGTTTTCGGCTGCATGGTACAGTACAGACCCCACACAGCCCGAGCAGGACTGTGAGAGTACGACCCCGTTACACCACTTGGCCTTTTCTTATTTCCTTCCCTTTTCATTTCTCTTTTTACCGCATCTCATTTGGTTTCCTATTCTTCCTTTTCCATTAACCTTTGGTTTATCCTGCTATTATCATTATATCACCGACCAGGCTTGGGATGTATTGGTGCGCTCTATCTAGCGTAATCCTGCTGTAATCCCTTAAAGCCAATAGCCTCGCGTGGCTATACGCAGGGTGATTCTATCTTCTAGAAGGGTCTATTCCCTTAGGATAAGATAAACCTGGTTACCTGATGTACTCTGGAAGTATAAAAGCGCCTTGTACTGATCGATAGTGCAACCTTTCCTCGACACATTCGATCCTGTGACACTTGGTAATCAGAGCTTTTCTCACTCGGCCGCGCTCAGCTAAGCAGCAGCAGCGGGGATCCTGCCTCGAAACACCGCCGGGGGCGACCAATTCGACGCCGATTCTGGTAAGCACCAGCTCCGCGATTTTCGAATTACCCCCTCCGTGCGTGTTTTGAACAGGATGGCAACCTTCGACAACGCCGAGGTTACCCAGCAGCTCTTCGCGCGCATCGCAGCCCTTCAGGAGGAAATGCGAGCGGATCGCGAAGCGTGGCGAAACCAGTTCGAGCGAGTAACTCGACTCGCCGGAGCGCAGCACGAGACGACAACGGCGACGACGCAGCAGTCGCAGCAGTTTCTCGAGGCTCCGAAACCGCGCCCACCTGAGCCGTTCGATCCGAGCGATCGAAACTCCGACGCCCGCAGATGGATCGCCGGGATGGAGATCTACTTCGCAGCCGTCGGATGGAGCTCGCCAGTCCGGGACGGTCAACGTGTACGACTCGCGGCGACACTGATGCGAGGGCCGGCACTCGAGTGGATTGGCGGCAACAGTACTTTCATCCACGGTGAAGCCA